TCTTCAAGAGACGTTTGGATAATTATCTGTTAAAGCCCAACAGCCACCTAACATAAATGGCGACAAACATACTACAAACAAACATACTACTCATTTGATTTCAATAAAGTTTTTATTTTACACTAAAGGTCACCAGACGAATATGTCATACAGGGCATACAGTGAACTTTTTGTACGCTGCCGTTCCGCAAACGCCTTACCTTCTTAACAATTCATGTTTCCAAAATTTTTTATGTACTTTTTCACAACAAAAGCGATCCGTAACAATTTATGCATATTTCACAAATTTATGCATTCCAGTACCATTTCAATGGAGTTTTTAAGGGCTTCGGTCATTTACTCCAAATATACTGACTGACACTGACTGACTGAACACCGTACCTCACCGACGTGAACAGAACCCCGGAGGACCGTGCCGGTGAGAACTGTGCCCTGACCGGTCTTCACAAAACAGTGGTCCACAGCGAAGAGGAAGGGCTGCGAGAGTTGTTGCTGCCGTTTTGACTGTGGGCTCGGAATAGACGCGAGGAGGAGCTGGATGAGGTTAGCCATGTCCGTACTGTGCGGACCGTCGGTAGCCTGGTGAAAAAAAGATGCATGAAAATGAGGTCGCACAAATACCCACCCAACAGAGGCTCAATGCTAAAGAAACGGAGGTGAAAGCAGAAGGCAGGTCAGAAACAAAATCGAGTTGGACTCGCCAAATGTCAGGTTGGTTACACCGACCCGTCATGAGATGAAAGGAAAGTTGGACATGTATGGCGGGGGGGGCATAAATAGGCAGACGTCCGTGGGAGGAAAGGAGGCGGACATGGTGCTAGAAGTTTCCGTTTTATAGTAGATTACCTACCTCATTAAACGTCTTTACGAACCGAAAAAAGCACTTGTGTTGGGTTGTAGTATTGATTAACGCAAATTCTACTCAAGAGATAGTTAAGTCAGACCAGGATGCCGGCTTTTGAACGAGATTCCTTCTGGCCACTTGCAAAAAGTAACGTCTGCTTAAAATGTTTACTAAAATATCATGCATTTTAAGTTCTTCAATTATTCCCATGTTTAATTTGAAAAGTCAATTTGGCAAACACGTGTTTTTCAGCAATTCTTCATCAGGCCAATACAGCTGCATGGGCTAAAATGGTCAGTAATGTGTAGTGAGAAGAATCGCTGGGACAACACGTTTATTCGCCTGACGTTTCGACATCCGTCGCGGATTAATCATCAGAGACATGACTAAGAAACAGTAGCAGAAACGGGTAGTGTTTAAGTTGTTCTCGGGATAGGGGAGTGGGGGGGTGTAATTAGTCATCGCTCGTTTAAAAGCTGGCATACTGCCCTAACTGAAATTAGACTGCACGATAATCAGTCTTACAACCCTGCTTAACTGATTTGTTCGGATTGAAAGCAAATTTCAGAATTTCGGTGTACATTTTATGAGATTGGGAATCTCCTGTAGCTTTTAGTGCCGGAGGTGTGCGAAACGCGAGTCAGGGATAGTCTGCATGCTCGGACATGGACTGGCAGCTGTTAGTTTAAGGAGGTGCAAGTAAACGAGTCGTGAACGCAGACCTTCTTTATGGGCGTCCAGGCCGTCATTACGGTTGATGATGCTTGAGTACCCAGCGCTGAAGAACTCTCGCGACTGTGGGCGTTAGTAATGCTTATCACTTTAGTACAGTTCGAATTGAAACAGTGGTCACAGTCAAGAGTCCGTGTCCACCAACATTATGGCTTTATTCGTCTGAACTTTCGAATCCTTGCTGGAGTCCATCGACAGAGATAAAAGCGGCAAGAAAAAAACACGCAGTAATTATAGGGTTGGTTACTCACAAAATTTAATACGATCTCGCAGTAAATATCTTTACAGCAGACTGACGTATGGAGTGTTCCATCTGTCTTCGCTTGTACAAGACGATTTATACCAGGTAGTTAGGTGCAAACTCGATACAGAACATACATTTGCATGAAAGAAAACGCACACCGTTGGCGCCTGCCCAAAAAGGAGCGGCCGCGAATTCCTGGAGGCAATGCACTCAAGCAAGGCATGCACTAATAGGCATATTGATTTAGATACCAATTACGGATTTAAAGCAAGCATGTAAAGCAGGAGTAATTACACCCAAAAAATTACGCGACTGCTCACCAGCTGCGACAATTCGCCGCATAGCATAAGCAAAAGACGAGAGAATATAGCAAATTTGAATTTGTACGGAAAACATTTTATGCAAAACAGCAAGGCCATGGTCTAGTGCCCTCCCGGCTAATCAATAAAAATAGTAAGTAAAAACACAACATGGGAAGGATGAGTGAGAGGAAACAGTTTTTCGGGAAAAATGTGTATATCAAGGAGCTAGACGCTATCACGGCAAGGTTAGATTGACCACGTGCTCTATAGGTCTGGCTTCTCAAGGTCAGGTAGAAGCCGCTTCGACTGGATAACTGAATGCAGTGGATGCCTATTGGCTAACACTTTGGCCAATCGGAGAATATTGTGTGAGACAGTGCTTAACGTTTTTTGTATATCTTCCAGTTGTCTGAAGACAAGCCGGAGTACCAGACACAAGAAAATTTATTTTCCACAGACCCTACCAAGAGACAGATTGTATTTATTGACAAAGTACTGAAGTGCCTTAGAAAGACGAAATAAATATCAGGCAATATTACGCAATCCCTGAGAAAATCCGAAGCAACCATCGCCAAGATCTACAGATTGCGCAAATGTCATGAACTTGAAGCTCCCCTGCGACCGATTATATCAGTAATCGGTGTACATTTGTTGTCGTTAAAAAGTAACAATTTTAAACACACCTTCGCATGGGGCAAAACTCGCATCGTCCGAGTTTGCTCCTCCAAAATGCCAAAAAATTTTCAAGCCATGCACTTCAGTGACTCATGCATCAACCAGCATATTAAGTGAGGTGCCACGTACAAAAGTCTCAATGAAAAATTGAAGAGATGGAAGTAATCAATACATACTGGCGTAAACTGCAACCGCTAACTAGCGCTCACACCGGAGGAAAATTGAGGATTTCGACACTTGAAATTTTAATTGTTCCTCGCACATTTACTCACCTCTGATGACGACCTGGGGTTCCAGCATGAAAAAATGTACCCAATAAAATTATTTTGTTCCCCGAAGCACTTCCCTTATTTATAATATATAAGCATGTATGGACTTGCCTGCTGTGCTGCAGTTGCGGAGACAGCCACTATGGGCGCGTCAGCGAAACGAGTATTGGCCAGGGTCTTGGATATCCGACTTTTCATCTGAAGACAGACTTGCAGTTAGAGTGATGGTATGAGTCAAACGCACCTTGGCAATCTTCTCCTCTCGTGTGCTCGGCTCAAGTAGGTCCACCTTGTTCAGCACCACCAGAAGCACCTTACAGGTTAGTTCGCCAATGATCAGGCACTCTGCAGTCTGCGTTTGAAAGCCCTTGTTGACATCCACTACCAGCAGCATCATATCTATGATGTGGGATCCTGCGTTTAAATGGACAAAAAGCACACATAATTGGTCGCTAAGCAAGGTCCACTTCAGCGAACAGGTAAATATAGCGGCTTCACTAATACTCCCAGCATGTGACTGAAACTAAAAATGAATCCTACTCTGTTCCTCTTCAGAGGGCCGTAAGTGATGATTGAGCGCTTTTTGGTCAAAAGAAGAAGCGGTCATGTACAACTTGAAGCGTTCCAATTGTTTCTTATCAAGCTACTGATGTTGAACTGCTGGCAAATATCTCTGCAGAATCGAAGTAGATGCAAAACAGAATTCCTCCAAAACAGGGGAAACTTCCTTGACGGACGAGAAAGATCTTGAGCCAGTGAATAGAGCCTATAACATCGCATCAGGGTGGTGTTTGTGTCTAGTTTTCTGCAGTCGGGTCCAAAGTGAATAAAGCACGCTGTGGGTCAGTAATCCATGCCATCGACTGTATCCCCCTAACCAGCACGCCAACTAGTTGAAGGTGAAAAGGTAAACAAGTTGTCGCAGAAGAAATTCCCCGCAAGGCTACAGTCAGTGACCAATGTTAACTGCGTTTTCGACTAGGAAGGATTACTTAAGTGGTCATGAACAACGCGAAGCGTCCTAATTGCTTCGTATGGAAGTGCTCAGCAAGCTACTGACTGCGGGGAAAAAGCTCTGCAAAACCCAATCCCTCCAAAACAGAGGTAACATCCTCGGCGGAGAAAATTCTTGAGCCAGCGAACAGTCTATTATATCGCATCACGCTACTCATGAACATGGTATTCACAGCGAATGGACGTACCATGGCTGAAAACACTTTGAGGTCTCCGATAGGAGAAGCTGTCTAGATAAATGTCAAGTATGTCTAAGAAGATAATAGGGCGTAGACGGTCACTCATCGCGGAACTCACTCGTCCCGTTGTGCCTCAGGGCTCACTCCCGAGACCGGCCAGCAGTCGCACTGCGGATAGTGATATAGACAGAATGACAGTTTCTAGCTTATTAGCCATCATCAGCCAGCCACAACCAACCCCAGGTGTTGCGGCATCCGAGGCTCCAGCCCGGAACCTTGGTCAGTTAGAAGTCCAACGTTCTAACCACCACTCCATGAGCACGTTGCCTCGTCGGTTTCGATAGGGAATATGCACGATGGT